GGAAATGCAGCAAGGAGATTGTACATTGTTCACATGATAAGGTGAGAGCACATAACAGAGGTATGAAGATAGGTAAGAACCACCCAAAAAATGATAGCATTTGATATCCTCAATGCAAAGGAACTAATGCAGAAACTTTAAAGCAACAGAGGCCAATAGGAGAAGGGGACCAGGATCTAGAGGAAAGGTTAGTTTGAGAAGAATTAAATTAGAATGTAACACATATGTACATGAAAGCAATGTGAGGAGCCTCCCTGGATAGCTATCCTTATCTCAACTAGCAAAAACCCTTGGTCCTTATTATTGTTTATATTCCCCAACAAAATTGGAGATAAGGGCAAAACAGTTACTGCCAGGAAGTGATGGGGTAGGGAAGGACATGATGGGGATGGGGAAAAGTAGAGAGTGGGGGGACGGAAGGAGAAATGACTCAAACATTGTATGCACATATGTATAAAAGAAATAAAAAAAAACAAGCACAGTGAACAGAGAAAGAATATTGAAGGCTGTAAGAGAGAGAAAAAAAAATAACGTACAAATGTAAATCCATCAAAATCACAGCAGATTTCTCAATGGAAACCTCAAATGCAAGAAGGGCATGGAGTGAGGTATTTTGGGCACTGAATGAAAATAACTTCAACCCTAGGATATGCTACCCAGCAAACTTATCATTCAAAATAGATGAAGCAATAAAATCCTTCCACAATAATCAGAAATTAAAACAATATATGACCACCAAGTCACCATTTCAAAAGATTCTTCAAGGAATTCTGCACAGAATAAATAAAAGCAATCAAAACCATGAGAGGACAGGCAGTATCAAACCACAGGAAAAGAACAGACAAGGAATCAGAGAGTATCATTGATTCAGCTGCACACAATCAAATCCTTAAACAACAAAAATCAACTAAGAGGTAGGAATCACCACATACCTATCAATATTAAAATTGAATGTCAACTGAAGATCCAACAATCTGTTGTTTACAAGAAACCCATCTTATTGACAGAAACAAACGTGGCTTAGGGTGAAAGGTTGGAATATTTACCAAGCCAGTTCCCCCCCCAAAACATGCAGAAGTAGCAATATTTAGATCAAAGTAGACTTCAAACTTACATTTATCAAACAAGATAAAAAAGGACACTTCATGCTAGTAAAAAGGGAAATAAACCAAAAGGAAATAACATTTATCAACCCATATGCACCCAATGTCAGTGCACCCAATGTCATCAAACATACTCTGAAAGATTTAAAAGCACACACAGACTCCAACACAGAGGTAGTGGGAGGCTTTAATACCCCCCATCACCAGTAGATTAGCCATCCAAACAAAAAATCAATAAAGAAATTCTAACACCATATAACACCATAGATCAAATGGACCTAACTGATGTCAACAAAATATTTCATTTCACACTACCCAGTATACATTCTTCTCAGCAGCCCTAGGAACTTTCTCCAAAATTTATCATATCTTAGGGCACAAAGCAAGCCTCAGCAAATATAAGAAAATAGAAATAATCCCATGCATTCTATCTGATCAGAATGAATTTAAAATAGAACTCAAAACAAAGACAACAGCAGAAAACATGCAAATAATTGGAAGCTGAACAACACATTGCTCAAAGATCAGTTGGTCATGCATGAAATTAAAGAGGAAATTAAATGTTTCCTGGAAGTTAATGAAAATTAAAACACAACTTACTAGAACCTATCAGACACAGAAAAGGCAGTCCTAAGAGGAAAGTTTTATAGCTGTGAGTGTTTATGTTAAAAAGACAGAAAGATCTCAAATCAATGACTTAATACTACACCTCAATATCCTAGAAAAACAAGAACAAGCAAAACCCAAATAAGACAGAAAAAGAAAAAATAAAAATATGGGCCAAAACTAATGAAATAGAGACACACACAAAAAAATACAAAGAATCAATGAAAAGAAAGCTGATTCCTTGAAAAACTAAACAATGCTGAAAAAACACTGGCAAATTGGACTAAAATGAGGAGGGAAAAGACCCAAATCCGTAAAATCAGAAACACAAAAGGGAAGATAACAAACACCAAGGAAATCCAGCAAATCATTAGAAACTACTTTAAGAAACTTTATCCCAACAAATTTGAATATCTTGAAGAAAGATGGGCAAATTACTAGATACTTATGACCATCCAAACCTGAACCAAGAGAATATTAACAACCAAAAGAGATCTATAACACAAAGTGAAATTTAAGCAGCAATAGAGTCTACCAAAAAAGAAAAATCCACAACCTGTTGATTCTTTGCTGAATTCTATTAATCCTTTAAAGAAGAACTAATACCAACTCTCCTTAAGCTTTTCCACAAAATAGAAAGGGAAGGAACACTGCATAACTCACTATATGAAGCCAGGATTACATTCATCCCAAAAGTAGACAAAGACACAATCAAAAGGATAGGCCAATCTCCTTAATGAATATCAATGCAAAAATCCTCAATAAAATAATGGCAAGCTGAAACCAACAACACTTCAGAAAGATCATTTACCATGACCAAGTTTTCTTCATCCCAAGATGCAGGGATTGTTCATCATACACAAATCAACAAATGTAATACAGCACATTAATAGAAGCAAAGACAAAAATTACTTGAACATCTCATGCATGCAGAAAAAGCCTTTGATAAGATTCAACATTACTTCATGATCAAAGCTCTAAGAAAATTAGGAATAGAAGGAATGTACCTCACCTTATAAAGGCTACATAGGACAACCTTATAGTCAACATCATACTTAATAGAGAAAAACTGAAACCATTTCCCCTAAAATCAAGAATGAGAAATACTGCCCACTATCCCCATTCTATTCAACATAGTCCTGGAAATCCTAGCCAGAGCAATAAGACAAGAGGAAGGAATAAAAGGAATACAAATAAGTAGAGAAACTGTCAAAGAATCTCCATTTGTACATAACCTGACCCTCAACCTCAATCACCCCAAAACACTACCTCAAAATAGACTCCATAAACACCTTCAACAATGTGGCAGGATCCAAAATTAATTACAAAAATTGGTACCTTTCCTATACACCCAAATGAACAAATTTAAAAAGAATATATGAAAACAATTCCATTTATAGTACCATTAAAAAAAATCAAATTCCTAGGAGTAAATGTAACAAATGATGTGAATGGCCTGAATGAGGAGAACTACAAACCTCTGAAGAAAGAGTTTGAGGAAGACTACAGAAGGTGGAAAGATTTCCTGTTCCCATGGGTTAGTAGAATGAACACAGTAAAAATGGCTATACTATCAAAATCAGTCTACATGTTCAATGCAATTTCCATCAAATCCTAATGGCATTCATCAAAGAGATTGAAAAATCTACCACCAATTTCATTTGGAAACACATGAGACCACTAACAGCCAAGGCAGTACTCAGCAAAGAGAGAAGTGCTGGAGGTATCACAATTTCTGTCTTCAAATGATATTACAGAGCCATAGCAACAAAAACAGTGTGATACTGACACAGAAACAGATATGAAGACCAGTGGAACAGAATAGAGGACCCGAATATGAATCCACACAGCTATGCCCACCTTTCTTTTGACAAAGGTGCCAAAAACATATGATGGAGAAAAGAAAGCCTGTTCAACAGATGTTTCTGGGAAAAGAGGTTTCTAGTTTCAGAAAACTGAAACTAGAACCATGTCTATTGCCCTGTACTACTATCAACTCAAAGTGGATCAAGGACCTTAATATCTAAAACTCAGAAGTTAGTACCAGAAAGAGCAGGAAATATACTGGAAGCAACAGGTATAGCAAGGACTTCCTCAATAGAACTCCAGCAGCACAACAACTAAGAGAAAGGATGGACAAATGGACTACATGGAATTCAAAAGCCTCTGCACACAAAAGAAATGATCTCTAAGCTGTAAAGACCACACACAGAGTGGGAGAAAATATTTGCTGGCTATACATCAAAGGATTGATAACCAGAATATACAGAGAGCTCACAAAACTAAATTCTCCAAAAATCAATTAACCAATAAAGAAGTGGGCAACTGAAATAAACAGAATTTTTTCAAAGGAAGATGTTCAAATGGCCAAAAACCACATGAAAATATGGTCACAATCCCTGGCCATAAAGGAAATGCAAATCAAAAGCACAATAAGATTCCACCTCACCCCTGTTAGAATAGCTATCATCAAAAACACCACCAACAACAATTGTTGGTGCAAATGCAGGGAAATAAACACTCATACACTGCAGGTGGGAATGTAAGTAGTACAACCACTTTGGAAAACAATATGGAGGCTTCTTTAAAAATTAATCATAGATCTCCCATATGATCCAGCAATACCTCTGCTAAGGATACCCAAATGAATGCAATTCAGGTTATTCCAAAGGCATCTGCACACCCATGTGTATCACAGCAGTATTCACAATAGCCATGTTATGGAAACAGACAAGATGCCCCACTACCAACAAATGGATCAAGAAAAGGTGGTGTTTATACCCAATGGAATTTTACTTAGCCACAAACAAAAATGAAATTTTGTTATTTGCAAGTAAATAGATGAAACTGGAGAACATGTATTGACTCAGAGGCCAAAAATCATATGTTCTCCCTCATATGCAGACTTTAGACCTGAAACAATTGCAGTAATGTTATTGGACATGGGTAAAATGCTAAGGGAAGAATGTGTACTGGAGGAATAGGGAAAGGGAAGGAAAAAATAAATAAGACATCATTATGTGAAGAATTGGAATAATTTGTTACTTCATTCTATTTTTCCATAGCATTTATACTTGTATAATTTACACTTTATATTTTATATTTGGTTTCTCTTCAAGGGACAAAAAGCATTTTGTGTGAGGCCAAGGGGGCGGAGGTGGCGGCAGAGCTGGGAAGTTTGGGCAACAACCATCAGGGCTGCCATCTTCAGCGGGCTCCAGCAGGCAACACATGCTGGCGGGCCCACAGACGTCATCTCATCTGGCCTCTCCTAGCTTGGAATTGTTTAAGTTTCTAAAATATCATCTATCAAGCACCAAGTTTATGCAGTTATTGGTTTCTTAAGGGAACAAATTCAGATGGATGCTTATACTTTTGATGAGCAAGAAAGTTTGGAAGTTGCAATTCAGTGCTTGGAGACAGTTTTTAAGATCACCCCAGAAAATACACACCTAGCAGTTTCTCAGCCTTTGATGGAAATTTTCACCAACTTCCTCTGTACGAATGACATTCTTCCCCTTTCAAACTCAGTGTCTGAAGATGTGGGAAAAGCTCATCAATTAAAAGATGAAGGCAATAACCACATGAAAGAAGAAAATTATACTGCTGCGTTTGATTGTTTCACACAGGCAATAGAACCGGATCCCAATAATGCAGTTTATTGTTACAACAGGGTGGCTGCTCAAAGCAAATTAAGTCACTACACAGATGCAATAAAGGATTGTGAAAAAGCAATAGCAATTGATGCAAAGTACAGCAAAGCCTATGGGGAGATGGGGCTGGCCCTCACTGCCATGAATAAATTTGAAGAAGCAGTTACAAGTTATTAAAAGACATTAGATCTTGACCCTGAAAATGATTCCTACAAGCAAATCTGAAAATAGCAGAACAGAAATTAAGAGAGGTATCTAGTCCCACAGGAACTGGATTGAGCTTTGACATGGCTAGCTTGATAAACAATCCAGCTTTCATTAGTATGGCAGCAAGTATAATGCAGAACCCTCAAGTTCAACAGTTAATGTTAGGAATGATGGCAAATGCCATTGGGGGACCTGCTGCTAGATTTGGGGTCCTAACTGACCTGTCTAGCCTCATCCAAATGGGACAGCAGTTTGCTCAGCAGATACAACAGCAAAACCCTGAATTCACTGAGCAACTGAGAAACCACATCTGGAGCAGATCATTCAGCAGCAGCACTGAAGAACATTCCTGATTTGACCAGGGACTCTCGCCCACAATACAAATTGCTCATGGCACTGAAGTGTCCATTTTGGAAAGTGGCCAAAACAAAAAACAAAACATCAACAAAAGCACCATACCCGATGTTTGGAAAAAAAGGAAAACCTCTTGAATATATTCTTCAAGAATAAATCTGTTTAGACAATAGGTTTATCACAAACAGATTGAACATAACTTCTTTGGAAACAAAGATCAGTAGCCTTGTTAAGTGCTATGATAGCACTGAAACAAGGGTCCATACACTTTCAAAGTTTTATCATATTTGTATATTAGACTTAATAGCAGAGTACATTTATTGAATACTAGGCTATTTATTAGTGAGTTCTTTATGTCCAGGTTCCCCTAAGAAAAAATTTTTGAGGTGAGATGAAATTTAGATGATCTAAGTTTAGCTCTGACCTGTGTTGTCAGTAATGAATATGTATCATAGATGCCACTACTATCTTCAGTGCTGCTTATTCTGATGAGTGATAGGGAATCTTGAGAGCTGGTGGAAAGCAGCATTTGGTATAGAGGATGTTCTGAAATGTGAATGTATAGAAAATAAAGGTAGGGTTTTTGCATAATTCTTAACTAGTCTACATTTTGTGTTGATACCTTAGCATGACTAGTAATGTTAAGTACATAATAAAATACATTTAGAAATCCTTAATGGTATGGGTTTGGTCAGTGATAGAACTGTTCAAATCACAATTTCCTGGTGGTATATTTACCTTGGAAACTATCAAGTATTCCTATATTTAAATAAGCCAATGGTTTGACAGTAAGTTAAGGATTTTCTAAGTGGTATTTAATTATGTGTCCATAAACATTGATTAAAAAACAAAAACAAACAAACATCTATTACTAACATTGCTTGTTCATGTAATCCTCTGCTATAGTTTGGTCCTGTGTGCCAGTCTGTGCTTAACTTCAATTTGTTGCAATTTGAACGTAATAGGCTCTCTAGAGTATTTCATTATAAATTAGATGCCATGGAATCCACAGTGAATTAGTGCAGTGAAATAACGTCAGGTACTGTTGGCATGGGAAATGCACTGATGGATGAGACAACTCTGATTCCAAGTGGAATTTTGTTTATTAATCATGAAGTTTGTTATGTGGATGACATGTAATGATTTTACAAGTGCCATGAGGAAGATTGAAAAATAAATTAAAATTAAGGCAGTAAAAATGACAAGGGTCTTACTGTAACTGTTCTCAAGATTAATTACTTGGTAACTCGAATTTTAAAATCTAACCTTTTCTTTTTTCCTTTTGTGAGATAGTGGTTCTGTGATTTCACTGTAAGAATTTTATGGAAGAAATGCATTAAAAATGCAGATTTAGAGTTCACAGCTTTAATTTTGATTAGGAATCACCATTCTAAATAGCACACCAGGTGCTTCTGATGCAGATGCAGGGACCCAAATTTAGATTCACCATAAGGTAAAGGTCTCTCCCCAATTAGACCAGCAAATAATCTCTTCTAGAAAAAGAGGAGAAAACACGTTTCAGATCATTTTATTTGGCAAGTAGTACTCTGGCAACAAAATCAGACATCATAAGAAAAAGCACTTTAAAACACTGTCTTCATGTGATAATATTTGTAGGAAAAACATATCCATTTTTTTCTCATAGATTGTAGTAACTGGTGTATTCCTTCCATTTTTGTTTCTCAGTTTGTTACTTTGCCAATGAATATACCACCTGTAGCAAATTCAATAAGGATAATAACTCTCCACTTACATGCACTTCTTTTCTACACCAGCCACTTTTGTTCTTGAGTCCCTTCATCACCTTGGAATCACTGCACTGCAAGCAACTTCAACAAAGTTTTGTGTGGTTTGATTGTGCTAGCTACTCTTAAAATGAAAAAGAATGCCCTAAGTATTATTCTTCTTGTCTTGAAGATACAATAGATAAGAGAAACAAAGAGCATTAAGGTAAATCTTTACATTCCACTTAGGAATGCTTGACTTCCTCTAGCCATGTTTCATTGTAGTAGTTATAGCCACTGCAAAGATATGTAAAATTAAACATGTCCTTTTAATGCAAATGATATTTTCATTTAATGTATCAAGCAGTACTTTTTTGTGCCAGTGAAGTGGGAGAGTTTATTGACATAGAAGAGTAGCTAAGAGTAGAGCTACCAGAGCCAGGAGGGTCCCAAGAGAAGGTACCCACAAATTGTTAATTTTTACAATGTAATTTACACAGATTCTTTAAAAGACGGCATTATCTAACTTTTAGTTAAGTGTGAACAATATGTGTCTAGGTTATTGTTTACAAACAGAAGAGATTTTTTGATTAAAACAATATATACAGCAGATTCCAAGTGACCATTATGTTATTTTAAATTTCCAAAGACTGAAACAGTAATGAGAAGATGCTCAAAAAACAATCCAAGTACATAGTCAGGTGGCTATAAAGTATTATTTCATCATTTTATCAATCTTTATCATTTTGGAAGAATGACAGACTTTGATTTTGCACTGCTTGCATTTTATTTTGCACAGACGTGTGATTTGAGTGGCAACTCTTCTGAATATAAATTTTGTTTTGGATCAATTTATCCTGGAAGTAAATATGCATTTAATGAAAACCAATTTTTGTATTTGACTTAATGTATTCTTATATGCAAAAATTATACATTGTGGAATTTTGACTTAAAAAAAAGCATTTTGTGACTTACAAGGCCATCCCCCTTGTAAAAAGGTGATAATAAGAGGATTAGTCCTGAACACAAAAAAAGGAAGCTATTCACTAAAATTAAGAAAGGTTGTTATCAATAAAGTCAACTGACTAGTTCAAAGTCAATTTATTGAAACTGTCACATGAAAATTCCTAAAGAGTGAATAAGCATGAGTATGCTTGGATACTGACGCTGAAATCTCATTGAAAGGAATGGCATTTTGCTTAAAATAGCAATCTCTAATCTTTTCTTAAGCTTAGAAAAATAAAGTGCACAGGTCTATGATCTAAAAATATAATTGAGTCTTTAGTTTTAAATAAAAATCCTTGAATATTTTATCATATTTAGAAAATGTTTCATAATTTAAGTTTTACATTTAAATTTGTTAATTTATGGCTTACTGTTGATTTTCAAGGCACTTTTTTTAAGGGTGTTGAGAAAATGGACTGTAATTTTTTAATCAGCATGATAAAATAAATAGCTCTCCATGCTAAACAAAATTTTAAGTTTAGCTTTCAGTGTAAGAGCAATGCTTACGGTAGATACTTAGAAGTTTTTCATCATGCATGACTGAAACTTCAACCCATGGAACAGCCACTGAAAAATGCTATTCTGCTTCCAGACTCAGTGGTTTTTGCACTTTAGATGTTTCACGGAAGTGAAGGTAGACCGTATATTTCACTTACTGTGTCAGTAAGCTTTACCCACATTACACTGTATGGTAGGACTTCTTTGTCTATGGCTAAATTACATGTTATCATTCAATCTTCACATTTTCTACCTTTCCACGTATTTAGTCCATTCATCCACCATGGACATTTAGGGTGTTTTGACCTCTTGGCTACTGTTTGCAATTCTGCAATATACTGGGAACATTTATATTTCTTCAAGATCCTGATTTTAATTAATTTGGATAAATGTCTCAAATTGGGATTGAGGTTTACATGGTAATAGTTCTATATTTAACTTTTTAAGGAGCCTCCTTTCTATTTTCCATAATGACTGTACCAATTTACATTCTTGTGAACAGAGTATAAGGTTTTGGTTTTCATCACTGCTCTTTATCACTAGTTGGTTTCTATTTTTTTAGATAATAATTGTGCTATGAGGCTTGATGTGATATCTCATTGTGGTATTGATTTGATTTCCCTAATGTTTTATGGTGTTGAGCACATTTTCATATACCCATTGACCACTCCTATATTTTCTTTGGAGAAGTGTGACTTCATTTACCTTGCCCATTTTAAGTTGTGTAAATAGTTTTGATATTAATTTACTTAAATCCTTATACATTAATTTTTCTTTCCCTAATTTCTCTGTTTAGGACTTTCAATATTATGTTGAGTAGAATTGGTGACAGATCCTGATTTTAGAGAAAAACCTTTCAGTTTCTCACTGAAGACATATTTATTAGCTGTGACTTTTTATATATGCTCTTGATATGTTGGGAAAGATTTTTCTCTACTTTGTATTCAAAGTCTTTATCATGAAAGTGTTAGATTTTTACCATTCTTTTTTCTGTCTATACTAAGAGAGTCATGTGATCTATTTTATTATTTTTTGTTAATTTGGTGTATCACATGGATTTTAATATGTTAAGCCATCCTTACATCTCTGGGATAAGTCCCACTAGTCCATAGCACATCATATATAACTTTTTTCCACATATTAAAATTACTGCTTATTAATATTATTTTATATTATATGCTAAAAGCATATTATCTTAGCCCATTCGGAAAACACTAACAAAATACCATAGATTGAGTGACTTAAAAACAACAGAAGTTTGTTTCACAGCTTTGGACACTGTGAAGTTCAAGACCAAGGTGTCAGCAGATTCAGTGTCTTGTATGGACACATTTGTGGTTCATAGACAGCCATGTTAGTTGTCATTCTTGTTGTATCCTCACATGGAAAAGGGCCTAGAGAGCACCTTGGCCTCTTCTTACAAAGGCACTAGTCCTACTTGTGAGGACTCCATCTTCATGACACAATCATTTCTCAAACATCTCACCTCCCACCACAATGGTGCTTGGTCTTCCATACTCAAACTTTGGGAGAACATACAATCTAGAGCTCATGATATGCTATTTTCAAAATATAGTAGCTTTATTAAACATTATCCCTAAATAAATTCAAATGGGAAAGGATCTTTTTTATTAATTTTTCCCAATTAGTATATTTAGCTTTATTTAACATACTAGAGCAACAACAACAATAAAAACCACACTAAAATACAATGACTTGGTCTGAAATTAGTGAAAAGATACATGAAACGAACTTAATGTGACTCAAATATA